TTTTGGAGGGGGGCTGTTGCTATAAAATACAATTTGTGATTAAGAGTGATTAAGATTTGGAAAACATATTTACAATTAGCGACTGTTGAACAAAAACTTTAAAAACTTTTCTCATTTTCATGTAGTAAAAATAATTTTTGGATTCGAGCTCAATTTTCTGTGTGTGTGTGTGTGTGTGTGTGTGTGTCTTCGTGTGCGTGTGTGCGGCAACTAGCTGTCTCTGTCTAACACTCTAAGCGCAGGCGCAGCTCTCAAACCTGTCCATAAAATGTTCAATTTCGACAGCGCAAATCGAATTCAAACCGCACACGAAAAAACTACAACAACAACAACAGCACCAGCAAAACAAATAGATAAAAAAATAACAACAACAACAACAGCAGCGACAGCGGCAGCGACGACGAGGCAAATGAGTTGATTGCCTCTTTGGCTCCACCCACCAAGCAAACCACACTAGACACAGACAAAGCGCATGGCGCTGGCCGCATTGTGGGTCATAGCGAAACCACCAAACGGCGGCGAGTCACCGCCAATGGCGTTGAGCTTCTGCCGCTTGACGGCCACCGCGGCCTCTGTGGAAGATGTGGAGCTGTTGCTGTGACTGCTGCTGTGGCTGCTGCAACTGTTGCTGGTGTGCGCCGCGCTGCACTCGGCCTCCAGCTGGCAAAACTTGCGACGCGGCGCCGTCTCGTGCTCATCCTGCAGACTGCACACGTCGCTGTCATTGAAGCTGTGCACCGAGCTGCGCGACGTTTTCATGCTCAGGTCCATGGGGCCGTCTTGGGCGGCAGCGGCGGCGGCGGCGGCTGCGGCCGCTGTGACTGTCTCGCCGCCAATGGAGCACACCGAGACAGGTGAAAGTGATTGCATCTTGGCTGTGAAGCTCAGCGGGCTGCTGCTCTGCGATTTGCTGGTCGGTGTGGGCGAGGCGCTGTTCGAGTGGGTGCTGCAGTTGGAGGCGGAGATGGAAATGGACGCAGCCGCGACTGGCAGCAGCTGCTCGGCCTCTGGCTCGGGCGGCGTGGCACGTATGGCAACTGGCGTGTGTATGGTGTGTGGACTCTGACTGTGGCTGAGGCTGGCGCTGTGACTGTGGCTGTGGCTGAGGCTGTGGCTGAGCGTGAGGCTGTGCTGCGACTGCACGTCATCGTCGGCGCCCAGGCAGACGTCAATGGGCGACGCCGCTGGCTGTGGATGCTGCTGCTGATGCTGCTGGCGGACAGCAGTGGGCGGCGTATAACGGCTCTGTGAGTCGGCCGAGGCGGCAGAGTCGACGCTCTGGCGATGCTTGTACATCTCCTGCCGGTAGGCAGCATCCGCAGCAGCGGCCGCCGCGGCGCTGGCATGATAGCCCGGGAAGAGCAGATGCGGCGGCAGCTGGAACGCTGACTGTGGCGTGGCCATCATGCTGAAGAAGGGCAGCGCGGCGGCGGCAGCGGCAGCATCTGCGGGATGGCGTGCTCCAAAGTGCTCGGGCAAATGGTAGCCGGGATAGCCGAGCAGCGGTGGCAAGTGGGGATGACGCTGTTGATGCTGCTGCTGCTGGTGTTGCTGTTGCTGCTGATGCTGCTGTTGCTGCTGCTGCAGATGTGCGGCCAGATCACCAAATCCGGGTGAGCTCATGGGCGAGCCAGTGGCATGGCCAGGCGCCTTGCCGGCAGCGGCGGCGGCCGCCTGTTCGTGCTCCTGCAGCAGGCAATGGATCTTGAACCAATTGGAGCGGCGTCCGTAGCGCGAGCCGCCCTTGGACATGCCCACGTTGTAGCACTTGCGCAAGCGGCAGGCCTTGCATGTGGTGCGGTTCTTCTTGTCAATGATGCACTTGCCATCGTTCTTGCACTCGCTGATGGTGCTGATGTTGTTGTATGAGCGGCCGAAGAAGGACTGCAGATGAGAGAGAGAGAGTGGGGAAGAGGGAAAGTTGGAATTAGTCAAAAGTGTTAAGGAAGCTAAACACAGTTGAGTGTGTGGCTGTGTGTGTGTGGGGTGGAGAGCGAACTTACCTTGCAGCCCTCGCAGGTAAAGGCGCCAAAATGAAAGCCCGCTGCGGGCTCACCGCACACTTTGCACGTTTGATTCATCTGTAAAGCAAGAGACAGAGAGAGAGATAGTTAGTTAAGTCCATTGAAGAGAGGGAGAGGAAGCTGAGGCACTTGAGCAGTTGCTAATGAAAGAGTTATCAGAATGAAAGCGTTGCTTGAATTCACTGCGGGCAGATTTCCAGTTTTGCTCATTTCATTCTCAATTTGTTGCACTTTTTTGTTGTTGTATTTTATTTTTTTTATAAATAATAATCCATTTAGCGCTGTGTGTAAACTAACCAAGTTGAACACCATCTTTGGCAGCTAGCCAATTCTGATCGATTGCGATTTGTAATTGTGTTGGGTTTTGTTTTCTTTGCGAATAGCTGTGCGTGTTCTGCGATTTTCCGGCACTTTTCGTTACGTTTTCCGCGTTCTGTTCGTTCGCTGTGCTGCTGTGCGACTGATGCTCGAACCGTGTCCAGCCCGAGAATTTATAGGAAATAGTTTGCAAGGCGACTGTTTGCGTATTTTTTTACGATCAGCTGCGTGGGCAGGCAAAAAACTTAAGCTGCCGGGGATTATGCAACCCTATTTGTGCAGGTAGAAACTCTTGTTGTTGTTTTTTTTTCGTTCGTTTTCTTTTTACATGAAGTCATTATGCCTAAAAAAATATGTAGAGAGTCCTAGGACCTTGACGTTGTGTCATAAAAATATGTTGGCAATTTTTTTGCGCCCAAAATAAAAATCATAAAATTTAAAAAAAGATGTTCGCCTGCACTGAACTCTCTCTGTATGTGTGTGTGGGTGTTTGTTTTATTTTTTTCGCATGAAATAGTAAAAAATCAAAGTAGTGCAAACAGGGCTCATAAAATATGCCGTCGGCTCAGCCAAAAAAAAAAAAAAAAAAAAAAAAAAAAAAAAAACAAGAATAGAAAACGTGAATTGACTTTGGGTGTGGGCGCGTTTTTCCTCTTGATTTGATCTTGCGAACTTACCTTGGGTTCCGTTGGGTTTTCTGTGTGTGTTTGTGTTTTTTATAGCTGATGACTTTTTAATTGCACGTGGCAGTTCGTTAGGTTTAAGTTAAACTATTCACAACACTTTTTGCTTTTTCGTTTAGCACGGTTTGATCTTTGTGGATCAGTCTCTGTCTGTTTGTGGTTTTTGTATTTGATTGGTGACTGACACTCGCTGAACTGTAACTGTTTTTGCTTGCTTCGGCTTAAGATACACGCAACGCGCTCTGTACTCACGATGTGTGTAACTCACACCTGGGCTACTAGCTGACGACTGATTTCTTGCTCAGACTCGTCGCTGGCAAGAAGCATTTCTGTGTGTCGCTCGGTTGGCTAACTCCCAGTGTCTATATACACACACACATGCAACGGCAGTTAGCAGTACTCCAAACACACACACATACACTCTCACACACTAACCACCAGAAGTAGCAACGAGTTTTGTAGTCTCTCTCTCTGATAAATCACAGTCTCAGCATCTGACTCGATCGTGCTCATGCATTTAAAACCACCACCAACTGTAACAGCAACAACAACAGCAACAGCCAGAGTTCACTCAATTGTGCAGCGCTCTCACAACAACAGTTTACCTGAGTGACTGTTAAGGCGCTGTTAGCTGCTCTGTTAGTCTCTTGAATGAATGAGGCGCGCAGCTCAGCTCAGCTCAGCTGTCAGCCGTCTCTCTCGCACTCTCGCGCTCACTCGTGCGCGCACGCTCTTTGTTGGAGCTCGCTCAATTTGCATTGCTCTGATATTATTCGTTATTCGGTTATTTATTAAAACTCACACGTTAAGGGCAGCTAAGCTTTCTCGCACACTCACACTCTCTCACATACACACACACAGAGCCATTGACTTCATTTTTAACAGTTGCTCATTTTATTTAGCATGGGCGGAGCCATCAACAGTTGAAGTTGTTAATTTATATGAGAGGTGGGCTATATTTATGTATGTACAAGCACATGTATACATATGTATATGTATATATTCACATATAACTAGAGGAAGAAGGCGTTCAATATGGAGTAATTGTTTCGTCTGAGTGTGCCAAAACTTACGCCTATCATAAATTGTCTCGACGTCTTAAAATTTCTGATAAATTTTCTATAAATTCTCCATATTATCTACCGTTATTTACAGCCCATAATAACTCTTTTGCCATTGCAACTACTGAAATTAACTCTTCATTATTATCAATTGACTTTTTCAGTTTTATTGCTGGCAGCGAAACAACCCTTTCCCAAACTCAACCCGACCCTTTCTCTTCTCACTCTTTACAAAGGATCAGTTAACTCTTTTTATGCACCTTTATTATATATTTGCTTTGGGCAACGGAGCTACTACCTGGCAGCGATACGCACATTAACCCTTTTATGTCTACCCATTGTTCGGCAAGCACCAGAACACAATAAATGTGTGAAACCAAAATGGACTTTGTAAAGAAGAGGCAAAATACATACAAGCAGAGAATTGATCAATTGTGGGAGAGGAGCTTTGGCACACGCACACGTGCGAGCTTAAAGCTCTGCATGTTATTATACGCTGTCAGTAAATGTTAACTAATACATGCTCATACAAAGAACTTAAGTCTTAGCAGCTCTTCTTGTTCCTAGAAATATTTTTTCGGTAGTTACCCAACTCTGAACTCCTGGCATGATTACCTCAGCAGCGGGTCGGCCGGCCGCCGCTTCTGGCCATAAAAAATGGAAATTGCATCAAACAAAACGAATTGCATGTTCCACGTAAATGTGACAAAGGCTTGCAGAGTAAAAAGTCAAAATATAGAACCCAGAACTGAGGACACTTCTCAGATGTGCTCAATGACCTTGCAGCTTCATTTTTTTCTAATCGATTCAATTTAACTGACTTTTGCCCGTTCGTTCGTTTTTTTGTCCTCTCCGCTATTTTCTGTCCCGCTCGCACACAATAATAATAAAAAATTGAAGAAATTCTTTAGACAAATTTCGCGAATTTCCACAGCAAATGGGTAATTTTCCCAAGTAATTAGTTAGCCCGAAAGGAAAGAGCGACAAAAAACTGCAAAATAAGGACAAACGGTGCGACATTGTGACTTTTAATCCGGTTTAATCCCCCGGCTTAAGTTTTTTGCATGCACCACACACGCACACAGACACATTCACCCACACACACACTCTCACAAAAAAATTGCTGAAATAGCGGTACGAGTTTTTGTGTTCTGGAACTCGCGAATCGTTGTTTGTCGAGTTGAACGCGTAGCACGGCGCGTCGACGGGCTGGCTCATCATAATTATGATCCTAGGATAATCGGCAGCTTAGGTATGCTGATCCTGCGATTAGGTAACAGAATCGCGTGCTTAGGTAGCCGCAAGAATTGGCCTAAAAAAATAGCGAGACAGTCAGCTCAAGTCCGAGCCAGAGTCATAAAGTCAGCGGAACCATAAAAAGTCGAGCAGGTCGACTAACCCGAGCCACACTCGAGCTCACACTTTCCGCTTAAGTGGAAAAGGGATGACTGACTCCTTGCCCGAACTGCATATGGCTTGCACTTTTTACGGTTCTACTGCCAGTCTTTTTCCATCATTTTTTGTTTGCAGCAACACGAAATTACCGTTAAGCATACGTTCTGGTAGCGTCCATAAAAAAGTCAATTGCCCTAGAGAGTTGCGTAAAAAATGCGTTTGGAATTCACTAGAAATAAATCAAGGACACGCTCGCACTCAGCCCTCTGCGAGCAAATAAATATGTATATAGCTTCTAGTGCTAAAAAAAACTGCTAAAAAACAATTTGCGTTGACTTTTTGACTTTACGGTTACAAAAAAGTCAACTTTTTAATTGGCCATAAAAAATGTAAAAAAGCGAGTGCGAGAAAATATCGGAAGTGGCTAGCAGGCAGCTACTAAAGGCGACTTGGCGATTGGCCATACATTAGGCCTACTGCCGTAACACTAACTGAGATCCCGACTCGACGATCGACGATCGACGATCTCACTGATCGCATGTTACCTGAGCTGAACAAAAAGTCAAAATGTCAACCCGTTCGCATTTACATAGTTTGATTGCATCATTTGGCCAAATGGCCATATAACAACAGCACATATCAATCAACACACTTTGTATCTGTATCTACAACTGTATCTGTATCTATAGGTGTATCTGTATCTGTGGCTGTTTGTTGTAGCTCGCGCTGAGCTCGTGTGGCTCTCGTTGCGATTTGCATATTTTTGATTTAGCAGCTCGTTGTATGATTGCTCAGTTACTTTGCTCTTGCCATACACTAGCTGAAATCGGGTATATTAACTATGTAAGAGCATAGAGAGAGCGACTTTGAATACCTGACTGTTTGTTGTATATCTCTATTATAAGTAACTTATATCATCTAAAGCATACCAAAATTTATATACTATATTCAGATAAATTTCCATTAAGAAACTTTAAAAAAGGTATTGAACTTCCTTTCATTATCGCTTTAAACTTTCCATCTATACAAAAATCATCATCGGCAAGCGTATCGAATCCTCTGCCTTAAATATTTTGCTGTCATTTCTTGTTTTCAAACTCTGTTTGTTTGTTTCAATGCTTTGTTTGGCTGTCTTGCGTTTTGTCAGCTTTGTTATTGTAATTATGTGTGAATAATTTGCATTTGGCTATGCGCTAACATTCATTTGATATACCATTTTGGTCCACAAAGATAAGACCTGACGGCTTATAGACAATTTTACAATATATCATTTTTGTTGACCGGCGGCAACTGCTCTTAACCTGGCCATTAGCGAATAACCGCTTAGACTCCGTCGCAGCCAATGCATCATCGCATCGTCTTTTTTTTTTTTAGATTTCTTGAAGTTGTTGTTGTTAGTCAAGCGAACAATGTTAATTTATTCATTAATTGCAATGACTTATCAAGTTCCAAACAAATATTATATAGACGCCGTCGCTATGGCTCACTCATGTAGGCCATAACATTTGTTGCAGCTCGAGAGGCAGTAGCTAAATGGAATATTGAAATATTCGCCGAGGTGCCTTAGTTAATGTGCGAACGTGCGCCGTCATAAAGTTAATGAACCTGAGCTATAAATGCAAAATGTAAAAACTTAGCTAATTGTTGATCATAGTACAAATGCAGATTGAGAAAGGGGAGATGAGATGAGACATAGATATAAATATATAGAACTCTTCTCTATATAAATATATGACTATTGCCATAATATTATTATATATTAAATAATATTTTTAAGTTTCCTTAAGTTTCCATTATAGAATCTTCCCATTCTCTGCTTTGATCTATGCCTTTTTTTTATTGCCAGCTCCTAAGATTCTTTAGTTTAGATTCTCAGAGATATTCAATTTATGCCCTCATCATGTTCCTCATTTCTCATTCATATATTCATAATTTCATGCACACTTTTATGGCCCAACATATAGCTTTATATTGACTGATATTATGTTTGTATAGATAATTAAAAATTATACTGCATAAATGCTCATAAAATTA